AGGAAGCGAGACTTAATCAGAAGGAAATTCATTATTTCAGAGCCTCAGTAGAGGGGCTTGAAGTTTCCTTTTCATGCTGCCTTACTTTTCAGTCTCCTTGGCTTTCTGGAAATTTTAGTTGCCTGAAGTTTTGAACGAAAAACAATACACAGACAGACAGACACACAGACAGACACACAGACAGACACACACACACAAGTACTTTAGGTACAGAATAAATGCAGTGTTACAAGCATTATGTTAATGATGATGATGATTTAATGATTACATTTGAATGCCATACTTCCTCTTCCTGCTATTTTGAGGGATATATATATATATATATATATATATATATATATATATATATATAATTCTAAGATCTATAAACTATATGAAAACCTGTGTTTCTAAGATGCATGGCCCCTACATGTAAGGTAGCTTATTTTCTAAATAAATTGCTGCCAATTAAAATTAATTTGCTATTTATAGGTCATATTACAAAATATTCCTGAGGATTTAGCTTTAACCATGTTGGTGTTACACAGAAAAGTGTCCCACATATTTTGACATTAGTTTTTTCTCTTTTTCCTCCAAATCATTTGTAAAAAAAAACATTAAATAAGGCATACACTGGCACTGCTTTCAAAGGAACATTTGTGTTTACACTTCTTTATTTAGAAAAGTGGCTACTGATTCTTAACCTAAAGCTAATCATATATCCATGACAAAACAGTTCCCCAGATGCCATGATGGCACCTAATTTTATCAATTATTTTATTGGAATCTCAGCAGTTAGTTCCACTGATTGCTGTTCAGTTTTTTATGCTTTGGAAGTTTTTTTTTTTTTTCTTTCCTTTAAAAGCTTTTGGGATTTACTTTTTATAGCTCATTTAAATATCCATTTTTATGTGTCCCTTTCTTATACTAATATTTTATGTTTCCTAGTATTTACTGAAATCTCCCTTTACTAGACAATCTATTAATTTTCTTGGAATGATATTGGACTCTGTTGTCTTATTTCAGAACATCTTATTCCAAAGCATCTTTTGAATGGACTACAATTGTTTTAGTTATTCAAAATAACTTGTACAATTTAGAATAAATGCTAGTCATGTATCACAGTCAAATGTCTGCTTTCAGGACTAATGTTTTTATATTTTTCAAATATTTTCCTACAGCTTAGAGCTGGACACATCCAAAATGTTTGCAACATGATTTTACTGAATGTTCCGTGTTTTTCATAGATGTCATGCAAGATGTTTTCTTTTTAAATTTTCTTAAAGACAGAAAAATTCTTTTTAGATTTGATGAAAACAAAAATTTAGAAAATGAGTCATATCCTTAGTCCCCTATTTACCATTCAACTCACTGTGGGAGGGTTGTCAGAAAATTTCAGTCTAAATGCAGTAAGGCTCACCGTATCAAACATGAGCATCAATTTTGCACTATAACACATATTATAAAACCTAGATAGTAAGCAAAAATAAAGTTGCATAAAATTTATTTCACACAATGTCCTTGATTCTCAAAAACAAAGCTGAAGTATTTTTATGATGTAGTTAAAAAGAAACAGAACCACAGACACCTGCACTTGAATATTTATTATGCTTTAGTTTTCTTTTTCAGATCTACACCTAAGAAGTAGGTTAATATACATAGCTCCAGGTTCAATTTCCGTTATTTTCACAAATACTCATTTAATGCTTTTATGCTCAATTGAAAGTTTGTGTGTGTGTTTATGTGTGTGTGTGTGTGTGTGTGTGTGTGTGATTTCCCCCCCCCCCTTATTTGCAATCATCTCTGTCTAAAACTCTAACCAAGTGATTATATCATTTGGTTCATCTATAGATAAAATGCTCCAAATTCTTGTGCCTGTAAACCCTCCTACAAACACTGTCTTATTTGGATAATATTGCTGCAAAATCTTTGCTTCATCACCTATCCCTCTGACTTCCTGAGCCCTCAATTTTCCAGGAATGGTAATCCACTTAAGAAAATGAAATGCAATGAAAATATTTGGCCATTAAAAACTTAATAGAATTGGCTGTTTAAAAATTAATAAAATGCATTGGAGGCCCATGGAGTTAAGAATCTGGGTCTTAAATAGGGAAGGTGCCAACTCCTGGTTTCTGCAGGCTCTGGAGAGTGCCATTCCTCAAATGATAACAAACAAGCAAGCATTCTTTGCCAATGTGGAATGGCACATCTGTAACCAGTGAAAACCCTTCACAGTTTCTGATTGCAGTTTCCCTTCTAGTACTGAAAACCATTGCTAGGTTTGAACATATCCTTGAGTCTTCTTAGGTGTTGTTATGGTTTACAGATAAGTGTCCCCCAAAAGCTCATGTGTAGGACAATTCAAGAAAGTTTAGAAGGTTTAATCTAACCTAGGAGAGGTTTAATCTAAGCAGGGTATTAATCCACTCATATGAATGAACTGGGCAATAACTGTTGGTATAGGCAGGGAGAAGGCTAGAAGAGGTGGGTCACTGGGGGCATGCCTTAGGGGTTTGTACTTTGTCCCTGGTGATTAGCTTTTTCTGCTGCCTGATTGTCATATCCTGAGATGCTTTTTTCTGCCATGATATTCTGCCTTAGCTTGGGCCCAGAGGTATGGAGATGGCCAACTATGGACTGAGCCCTCTGAAACCTGAGCCCCAAATAAAACTTTCCTTCCTCTACAGTGTTCTCATCAAGTATTTTGGTCACAGTGATGAAAAAACTGACAAAACATTATTTTTTTAATATATTTTTCTGGGAAATGATTTTCATGCAGAAAAATAAGTGAGTGATCTTTGACATAGAACTTGAAGGGTAAGTAAAATTTCAATGAGACAGAGTTGGAAGAAGAGCAAGAACATCCCAGGCAAAGAAAGTAGTGTGAACAGAGAAAAAAAAATCCAAGGAGTGTTAGGAAGAAAATGAGTTGTTTTTTGTCTAACTGGGTTGTGGACTTAATAGGGACTTAATGGGAAATGAATAAAAACTATAGATTAAAAATTTGCTATGATATTAGAATGTACCAAACAAAGGTTGTGTGTGTGTGTGTGTGTGTGTGCACGTGCGCGCATGCACATGGGCACACAGGGGGAAGTCATTAACAATTTTAAAACTAGAGTCATGATCAGAAGGGCTTTGAAAACCCAAATCTGTGTATTGAATGTATGCTGATGGCTTGGACCAGTGACAAGCTGGAAGCAGATAGTTCATAAGCTAAAATGTTTGTCTAGCTAATATGTTATAAGGTGTAAGATGGATAGTGTTTTAGGGAATATAACGTAATTGATTTATGTTTTATTTCCTATATGCCTTTCATTTGTAGGTTTCTACCAATTGAATAAATGTCAGGCATTGCCTCAGGGAACAGAGAAGGTACTGTCTGATTAGAACAAAGAAGTCATTGCTCAGCTTTGGATTGCAAATCTTAAATATTTTTTGGATACATGTTAGAATTATCCATATTTCTGTTCCTGGGAGAATTGATTGGGTAGTTAGCACCTGTGTATATCTCCTCATCTGACTTTCTTAAAGTATTTATCTATAGGACATACTTTAGAAAATTCAAGCCTGCGTATCTTTTAAAGAAGGCTAAGGAATTCTGTTGTTTTTCTATTTCATAGCTGACATTTTCTTTCAAAGGAAGTTTGTATCAGCTCACCCTCACCTTGTTATTCAGAAACAGAGCTTCTGAGAGCTTTGCTCCCCGGAGAGCAATAGATCAATGTGGGAGCTCACATTTGTTTGAATGTATGTCAGGTAATCACAGTACAGCCCCTGACTATTGACTGAGTAAGAACAAAGTGAAAAATTCTGTGTTTTCTATTGTAATCATAAATTCTAAGGCTATTTCTGCAATAAAATTAGTAATATGAGAAGATTTTTTTGGTTCATTTAAAGGAAAAACAATTTATTATTCCATAGCTCATAAAAATGAATTGTGGTTTGGGCAGTCATCATACTTGAGAGACTTTATTTAGCATTGTACTATTTTCTTTCTTTCTTTCCTTTTTCCCCCCATGGGATGGCTAAAATTACTTTCAAAAGTTGCTCATTTCTATGCCACCAACTTTTCTAAATTTATGTTTCTTAAATATTTTGATATATACTAATCCTACTGCTTTATGTTTACATATATCCCAAAATGGAAACCTAAAGGATGCCTAAGATTAGACCATACAAAGCAGAGCAGAGTTAATATAACATGAGATTTTGTATTCTCTCTGATTCCCAAGGTCAATGTTAAAGGCTCAATTATCAGTCATTTGGGTTCTCTTTGATATGAGAGAATTATAAGTAACATTTAACTAATTCTTGAACAGTTCCTTATAACTTTTCAAATATTCTCATATGCATTGTCCTATCTTTACGCTCTCCCTTTCTAGTAGTCTTCATTCATTGTTTCCTTAGTTCACTGAGCCAAAGTGATGTTAATTTACTTTTCCCTGATTTCAATGTGTTTTCTTTGCTCTGGGCTTAGCTTAGGCTCTTTGCCTGAAGCCCCCAGGCTGCCCCTCTCCATCCCTAACTCTCAAGAGCATCCCTTTCCTCCCACTTCTAGTTTCAGGGGTGCATTGCAATTGCACTTCCTGCTCTGAAATGGGCTGATCAGGTAAGCATCAATAAAGAGGAAACACATAACAGGACCGTTTTTATAGGGAGCCCCGGGTGTCATCTTTGTGCATGGCATCTTGCCTGTTCATTTGTTTCATGAGTGAAAGCATCTCTTCAGCTTTTATGCCATATGAAAGGATCATTATGAACACCAATTTAAATTAGAGCAGGCAGAATAAATCTGTAAAAGACAAAAAAAAATTAATCACCTGTGGCAACTGTCATTTGAAGTTATCCTTCCCTCATTCTACTCCAGCAAATCCACATAAACACAAAGAGAGATCATATTGTTTACTGGTATCAAACTGTAGAATTTGGCTTGCCTTAGGCATGGCTCTAGCCTAGAATCCAAGCCGCCACAAACATCAATTTGGAATGCAGCTTCGGCGCTAGTGGAAAAGCTGTCACAGGCAAATCTAAAATACCGAGAGCGCCGAGCTACTGACATTGCTAAAGATGATCATGAAGACATTTATCCAGCCTCTCCTGCTTTCCCTTCGCCCAGCCCTTCGGAAGCTTATGTCAAGTGTGACAGGCTAGGTGATGAATGGGTAGAAAGTTGACAAGTGGCGACAGGCGGCTGAGTAAGTGAAATCCTCCATCGTTAATTCTTGTGATTTTTACCTTTCTGACACAATGAACTTATATTAGGATGTGTGACTAAATAAACCAGAGTAAGAACAGCCATTCACCAAGAAAGAGAGTCCAGAGCAGAAAGCCACACTCTCATTTTTCTCAAGCTTCTTGATTGCCAGATTTCTGGAACACCATCTGTAATCAAGGACGCATTATTTAGAGTTAAGTGGGATGATTAGCTGTGTTGTTTTTCTCTGGAATATATCTCCAGAGTACTTAGCTGAAAGTTATGAGTCAGAAAAATCCCATTTCTCATAAATTCTCCTCTAGATTAGAAACAAAAAAGAAATCAGCTCATTGGAATTTTGATTAATGAGAAAAGGAGAAAGGTTTAAGGGTGAGTGCTTTGTTCCATTGATGTCCATGAAATGTAGGCCTGACACATTCTAGTCCAAAGCAATTGAAAATCATTTTAACTTTACTTTGTTTTGAGAGGCTTAGGGCTTATTGAATTGAGAGAAATTGGACTGAAACAAGTAATTTTTTTGACACAGGCTGCTAAACAGCTTGGAGACCAAGAGCCATAAGGCCCTGGGCAGGTCATTTAGTACAGAGTGTTGCCTTTCTCGGGAGATGCTTTCTTCTCAAATAAGTATACTGAGGAACACATCTTAGTGATATTCCAAGTTTTCTTTTATATGTCTTTATATTTACAAAGAGCAGCTCATGGCAATGAAGTTTTTGCCTCCCTCACAATTAACAATAACCATCCAATTGAGATGATTATGGTCAGAGAAGATGTAGTTGTAACCCTATTTAGAACAGGGAGAAGAATTCCCTGATTCCAATTCAAGTTTATGAATTCCTATTCTGGAAAATATTATGCATTCTTTTTGAAAACCTAAGAGAATTGTGATTTCATGGGACTTTTAATTTTAGTGATCCCATGAAGATGAGAAACTATTCCTTCATTTAACCTGCATTTTCATATAAGCATAAGGCCTCAGATTTTTATTTGCACACTTCCATTTATTTAAAATACATATTTCTGATATTTAAAGCTCTGTAATGAAACCAATTTTTCAAGTTTTTTCTTCTTTTTCTGATATTATAATTAAATTACTAAATTACTTTCTGATTCAACTTGCCTTAGGACATTTGATTTTCTATGATCCTTTAAAGGTTTCATTTTTTATTAAGTAATATTTATAAACTGTCCACATTGATTTCTATTGTGGGGCTCCTGTGATGCTCTTCCTTGAAAAGTATAATGTTGTATCTCTTTAGTCCTTTTGGATTTATTTCCCTTTATATTTAAAAATATACAAATCAACAATCCAGTTTGCTAATCTTTTTATATTCCCTTTTGGAGTAAACTAAAATGTGTGTGTATATATACATATATGTGTATATATGTATATATACACACATACATATATATAATTCTAATGTATATTCCAATAATTATATTCCACTGTATATATCCCAATAATTAGTTAATTAATATAGTACATTTTATGGTGCCAAGACATTTCATACAGCACCTTATGAACCACATTCATTTTTACTCATTGAGGGGTTTTTTTACTTGTTTTTTAATCATCTAAATGTATTTTCTTCTTTGTTCCTTTTCCAATTTTATTACTTCAAAATCCTCATTTTCCTGCAATTGAGGAAAACACTCCTTCCATCATTTTTTTAAACATAAAATGATATAATAAGCATTATTTTCAGCTTACGTTTTCTTGAGTCTCAGATTAATTTCCTGATAGTGTTTATTCTGGGCTCAAATCTTAACCCATGATATCATAAAAAAGTTCTATATCATAGAACTTAGCCAAGAAATTTAATAACTCAGACACTCGAGTTCTTAATCTGGTATATGAGCTTAAGAATGATCTATAGGGTTTGTGGAAGTTTTAAATGAGACAATACATATCCAGTGCTTAAGAAATACCATTGTAATCCCTCAGTAAACAGCAGCTTTTGCCCTCTTCCTAGGCTCTAGGATTGATTTACAGACTGACCCTGAAATAAAATGTTTTTAAGCTCACTTCATTTGAATAAAATTTGTGATAAAACAATTTTGTTTGTGGCATTCTGCACAGCACAGTTCTTATTAAGGAAAATAAGGTATTAATTCTGCTCTCAAGGAACTTTTGGACTGAAATGCTAACTAACTTCTTGTGATACACACAGGATCAAAATATGCAGAAGAAGGAAGTGCTGCAGGAGAGGGAGTAATTCAGCACCATGATCACCACGGGGGATGGGAAACTAAGGGAGTGTCTTGACCAAGTTTGAGAAGAATGAATACATGTGTAGCAGAAATCAAGGACTGCAGAGGGATGAATATTCCAAGTTAATCAGCACCACATTTCAAGTATACGTATAAAGTCATGTAATATAGAAATTTTACATGTCATATGAAACATTATAATCTAAATTTTAGCAGGACATGTAGAAAATATATGCAGCTATATAATTACTGGCGTAAGTGTGTCTTGAGGTAAATATTCTCTATTTTAAAAGTATATGCTGTATTTTAGATACTAGGAAAGAAACTTTATTAGTTTATGATTTTATTTGTACTAGTCTCTTTAGAAAAAGACAATATATGCTCATGATAAAAAAAGTCTACTTTTGCACAGAAAAGTATAAAGTATAAATTGCAGTTAACTTTGGCCATCTTACCTTCACTTTGAAGTATTTGTCTCTCTTAAACATTTTTCATTTGACTTGTAGCAATTCTAACTGAATATGAAAATCTGTACCAGGATTCCCCTACTAGGCAAATCACTGTGGAATTTAGGCAACATGATATTTTAAACTTTTGAAAATTGAATTTGAATGCATTTAGGTATGAAATCCATTCCACAATTCACAGCTACCACTTTAATTTAGCTTCCATAAACATAGATAGCACTTGCTTGGTTTTTGAAGGGTAACAGTTGAATTTTGACTCCCGGAATACACTCCAAGATTAGCCTGTGTATGTGTGTGTGTGTGTGTGTGCATGTGTGTATGCACAAATATGTATTTCTCATAAAAATCATGTTACACTTACTGTATTCCACCTTGCTGTTTTTCTTATTAATGCATGATGAGCATTTTTGCATCCCTACTCTGATGTTCACAGCCCAGTTGTGGTATGGCAGTGGAATAGGTTGTTGAGAGACCAAGAAAGAACAAAGATGAGATATGAGATGAGCTATAAGGTTATTTTTTGTTGTTGTTGTTTGTTTGTTTTTTGGAGAAATACTATTGGGGAGAGCCAGTGATGGTAGATTAGACAAACATTTGGCCTAATCTTTCTTTTCAGATTATCATCTGTTGTTTTTTGTGTTTTGTTTCTTTTTCCAAATGAAATATAAGAATCATTTGCAAAAAGAGTTATACAACTGATTTGAATTTTCATGTTCAATTCATATATCAAATTCATTGAATTTAATAATAGCTTATAGTACATTAACATTTTCATAACATTGGCAATTTATATTGAAAAGAGGGTTATTTATGTTTTGATTTTCTTTCAGGAAACCTTTTACATGTTTTATTATTTTTTTAAAAAAATGTAGTTTCTATTAGTCTTGTTTTTAGTATATTCCACAGAGAATAATAGAATAAATGTGCTTCTACGTACCCAATTTTTACCAGACATCCTGCATCTGTATTTTATTGAGACAAGCTGTTACCTCTCTCATGGTTTAATGTGCTTTAAACCCTGGCTTTTACTTTATTCAGTATTGTTGGGGTAATATGACTGCAGTTTTATTCCTTGGCTGCTCTTGGTTTGCTTTTCGTTTTTACACTGCAGGGCTCATGATTTGCCATGATTTCCCCTATGAAGACCTCTGAAGATGTCAGACAGAAAACCCTGTGGACTGCCTCATCATGTTCAAATAGCCCATCTTATTTCTCTCTTCTGTGTTAATTTAGAATGGATATCTTTGTAATGTTTTTATATTGTAGTCTTTGATCTACTGATACAACACTTCATAAAATATGCATGGCCATATTTAATATAAAGGCATTTGACACTAATACTAAAGTGCTTTTCCTGAACTTTAGGTGAGAAGATTAATAAACCATCCCACTTTTTTTCCTTTAGGAATGTAATATAATTTTACAATAAGGTCCATTTAATCATCTCCTTCTCTCATGAAATGACCTTGTGAAATGAGAGAGAGGTTCTATCTTTGGTTACAAATGAGACTGTGATCTTAAGTTATTCTCCTGTGCTCATAAAACTAAGTGAAAAACTACTTAAAAACTAAGTGAAGAGGAGAATCACTAGGGTATAGTATAGTTTTAGATAGAGATAATACCTGGAAGAAAAAGAATAAAATTATACATTGATTTATGAGGTGAGGCCAGCAGGCAGTGCACAGGAACAGGGATACTGTCTACTTTAGAGCCAAGACTGGCTAGATATGGATATACAATCTTGAATTACTCAGGATCCAGAAGTGCAACTCAAAATAAAATAAATCTCTCTCTCTCTCTCTCTCTCTCTCTCTCTCTCTCTCTCTCTCTCTGTAAATTCTCTAATTTTGAATATTTTCTTATAGCAAGAGAAAATAAATCAAAATAGATAAGTTGGGAAGAAATGCACACATCTAAAGGGATAATGAAATCTTTTATAGTAGAGTCAGTAACTCAGGCCAACACCAGTGGCCAAGAAAGAAGGCCACTTGCTGGATAGAGTACATTCACTCTATATCACACACCGACACACAAACACACATGCAGTTTTAGTTACACTGTTGACTAATTTCTTAAATATTGAAAAATTTACACTATGTTTAGGTAACATTGACCACCAAAGCTTTTACAATTTGTTTTTCTCTGTAATTCCATGGATCTTTGCCCAGATATCTATGCATCTGTTGCATGTCTCATTATTACCTTTTTAAATTATCTATCTCTTGCATGGGCCTATAATCCCAAGAGCTCTGGAGGCTGACGCAGGAGAATTTCAAGGTTAAGGTCAGCCTCAGCAATTTAGTGAGGATTTAATCGACTTAAAGAGACCCTGTCTCAAATTAAAAAATAAAAAAAGGGCTGAAAATGTGTCTCAGTGGTAAAGCACCCCTGGGTTTAATCCTTTGTACCAAATAATTTTAAAAAATTAAAAATTAATAAATTTTGTCTCTTTCTGTGAGTCACAAACTTCTTGAGGAGAAAGACCTGTGTAATTTAAAATTATACAGATAATTCAATTACTTTTTACTTATAATCAATAAGTAGATGCATGGTTACAAGAAAAATGTTATATTAGTTCAGAAGATCAAGAAAACATAGAAAAATCAGTGAAACAGATTATCAGACACCAGAATTGTTAAAATTGTTTATTGGGGAACTTTTAATGTTCTTTGAAAATGTGTATGGTGTAACATGTTAGACTTAACCACAGTGATTTTCCTGTTACTGCAAATCTAATTTATGTTGGATTTCAACTGATAATGATGCTTAAAAGTGCAAGAGATGGTATCAGTCTTTTCAGTATTTTGTTGAGAAAGAAAAACATTCATTTTAAATGAATGCTTTGACCTACAGGTATTTTTGTATCCAAAAGATGCAATGGCATCTCTTAGATAAGATTTGCCCTTTTGTTGCATGTAATATTTATATACTCTGTAGGTACTAGAGATTCAGAAACTTAATTATAATTTTTTTCCTTGCAGAAACTCCTCTTTACATTATGAAGAATTCACTATTCTTACTTCTTTGAACTCAATTGTAGAACTGAACATTGGCTAATTTTTCAATTCTACTTTTCTCTCAAGTGAAATTAAACAAAAATAAATAAATAAATAAGAACTGATCAGAAAACTAATGACTTTAGATGAGTATAATTTCATGTAAATTCTGAAAGATTTGGTGATTGATATTGATTTCTACTTCATTGTTCATTTCCTCTTGTTACAACAATCTAGTTCCAAATGTGACAAAATGGCACTTTCGTTGCTACACCTGCAAATTTTATAAAGTTTGTTAAAACTTTGGGTAGATTAAGAAATAAAGGGTAAAATTACTAAACAAAAATCATATTCATTACAAAATTGCATTTCCAGTTCTGTAGTACTGAATTTACCTGTTTAAAAAATTGACCTGCTAGCATATTTGATCATGTACTAAAAAAGAAAATACCCCTAAAAGGAGAAATAATATAAACAATGAAGTGAAAAAACAGGTAGAATCATATTTATTTTTAATTTATTTAGTATCCCAGGTGCCAATAGCAGAGACTTATCATCATAAGTAAGCTTTTAACTAATATTCAGATAATTTTTAAGTGTTTTTATAAGAATCTTTTTTGGATTCTAAATCATATGCTACTGTAAGGAAAGTTTATTATCCCCATGTTAGAAGCGAGTCAAATAAAATAGCAAAAGTTAAATAATCAAGAAAATATAGCTGAAAATGAATTGGTTTTTCAACTCATTGCTTTTACAGCCTCCTCCGAAGTGCTCTATAGATATCTTCTAGAGAAACACAAGCAAATAATTATGATTCTCATATTATATGAGAAGTTTATTTAGAAATAGATTTTTACACAAATCCTTCAAGTAAGTTGATACAAAGACTTCCATTTGACTACATATAAATGAATTGTAAAGAATATTAAATAGTATAAGCAATAACTGTGTTGTTACTAAACCACATTTAAACTCTACTAAATGTTAAGATAACATTGTATCTTAAATATCAGTATCAAATGTTTAGGTGAACATTTACATATTAAAAGTAATAGCAAAATATGTGGGCTTAAAAATAAATATTTATCAGGGACTAGATAAATAATGAAAAATTTAACTAAAATAACTATGTTCTAATATTCTATGTTTCTCATTAATTTTATTTTATAAAAGATATGCACAATTAAAAAAGAAAAAAATTTCTAACATGGTTTACATTATAAACTTTGAATATTTATAAGTATATCAAAGTAGTTAAAACTCCATTAGAAACCACCAAATCAAATCTATATATATATATTTTTTAAAGGCTTTTTTTTTGCTTTTAGTGTTTATTTTCTGTTACACATAATTAGAGTTCACAGAATTAATCATACAAGAGTAGGTGCAGAGGCTCCATGTTCATTAGACAATGCTCATTGAGGTTTCAAAGTCCATCTTGAGGGATGCCCCCAAAGCCTATTAGCTCTTATAGCTATCAAAGAAAATAGGTTGAGGTGACTATTTTATTCCAACAGATTTTTAACATTTCATGACATACTCTCACTTCCATGTCATGCATATGCACTTCACAATTAATATTTTCAGATTCAGAATAACTAATATTATTGGACCTATTTTTTATGTATTTATTTTTAAATTTTTGACTTTTAAAAATTTGCTCTAATCAGTTATATATGACAGCAGAATGCATTTGGATTCATTGTACATATATGGAGCACAACTTTTCACTTCTCTGGTTGTACACCATGTAGAATTGCATATATGTGCAGTCTTACATGAACCTAGTGTAATGATGTCCATCTCATTCCACCACCTTTCCTGAGAATCTCCATACTGTTTTCCAGAGTGGTTGCACCAATTTGCAGTGCCACCATCAATGTATGAATGTGCCTTTTCCCCCAAATCCTCAGCAACACTTATTATTGCTGGTATTCTTGATAATTGCCATTCTGACTGGAGTGAGATGAAATCTGAGAGTAGTTTTGATTTTCATTTCTCTAATTACTAGAGAAATTGAACATTTTTCTCATTTATTTGTTGATCAATTGGGTATCTTCTTCTGAGAAGTGTTAAAAAAGACTTTTTAGAAAATTTAACTTTTAATGTAGAGAAAAATGATTTCAATGTCTACAGATATGAATGTTCACATTATTTTCTGAATAATATGAATTTGTAATATGTAAAATATTTTTGTGTTAACAATGTGATATAACTCATTAAGCAATATTTATCTCAGAAAATGCTCATTTTTTCTTGTTTAAAAGAATGTTAATATGTAATATTTTACCCTCCATAGGGGTATATCTCAGTGGAACTTGATGAAAACCAGAGGACAATTTAAAAACATTCACTGCAAGATAA